TCATGTTAAAAATGTCTTCACAAACATTTAATGACAATTTTAATCGTCTCTCCGAAGACATCAAATGCAACAAAGAGACCGACGATGAATACTTCAACGGACACCACTGTGACGGCAGCCCAAAGCCCTGTTATGGCCACAAGTTGCTCCGGAGCTTACACTTAGGTTCGTAAAGGCTGCTAACGTAATAATTCGTCTGTCAATACCCTTCGTTATTCAAATACCATAAGATAATGGACTTCGACTCGTGTGGCGTTCAGACCCAGAAGGCGGCCGACGGCGCGCTCTGGATGTCTGTCTCCCTTAGGTTTCCGTTGATTGGATCCCTCAGAACCGCTGACGACGAGATGTAAGTGATATTTATTTATGTAAAACTTTGTAATTTAATTGAAATTAAACTTTATGTTTTGTTTAGTATAACTCTAATGTGTAGACCACAGGACAGGGTTATTGTCAGAAATCATGTTTTGGATATTAAAAGCCAAATGTAAGTGATTTTAATTCAGTAAAAAATTAGTTATTAAATAATAACTATTTATTAAATAAATATTTTTGTGATAAATTATAGTCAAAATCCATTGAGAACTGTATTCAGTAGTTCTCCGCTTGAGTTTGACTGTAATCTAGATGTTTATCTGAAGTCAGATGAAGACAATACATTCAATCGTATGCTTCCCAATGAGGATGTGATTGAAGTCGGACAAGAAGTACAACTTAGGGCTAGCGTTAGATCCGGAGACGGTATTTACAATACATCCATTTATTTAATACATCCATGTTTTAAAAACCCACATAAAACACACCACAGGCTGGAAATACGCGATGATAAAAGACGTGACAGTCCACAAAGTGATCCCTCTGTCCAACAGCCATACACTGCAGACATTCTCCACACTCTCCTCATTGAGACAAACCGAAAGGGATTCTGCGGACACTTCTTCGTCGAGTGGCAGTAAATTTGGATCCGTTTTCTCCAACGCGTTAAACATTAGGAAAGCGACGACTTCTCAGCGGTTCGGCAAAGAAGACAAATCCGAGCGCCAGAAGAGACAAATACCGGACGCGGCGTTCCTCGTGCTCAGCGACGGCTGCCGTAATCCAGTGTTTCGGTCGATAGCGACCACTCATCCCACACAGGAGTCCAACGATAATCTTGCGGTCGCTTTCAATTTCAAGGCATTTATGTTTCAGGACATGGAAGAGAGCGGCAATATTCGTATCACCGCTAAAGTGATCGCATGTGTCGAGGAGGAAGACTGTCGACCAGTGAGTTGTCTCGCAGTGTGTGATAATTAATTGATTTATAAACATGATGGTGTTTTTTGAAGGTCCGGTGCTTAGATGATGAACACTTTGGTTATGGAAAGCGACGCAAACGTTCACTAAATGAAGAGTACACTAATGGCTCACAAATTAATGATTACTCCAAAGAGATTTCGCTCAAAATAGTGATGCCTTCATTCAAATCGGGTTTGTTTTGTCATATTTTCTATAATACTTGTATTAATAAATGCATTATTTGTCTCAAAAAAATCTAATGATATGAATAGCGTTCGTTACGTCTGACGTACAGCCGGTGGTCAACGAGTGGTTTGGTTTGACGGACAGAAATGATTGCCGATATGTTATATATTTGATGGGAACCATTGCACTGGTATTTTGTCTGACAATAACTACCGCCGCGTCTGTTATTGTAGCCAGATCTAAACGATCTAAATATTGAATCATAATAATAACACTATTTATATATAAAATTTCATTTATTTAAATTACAAATTATATTCATAAAAAGTCGATTTCTAATTTACATACAAAGTATAACTGTTTCAATGTAGTGATTGTGTGAATAAAAATATTGTAAATGAAAATCCTTTTCACAAGTGTTATTAACACGTTTATAAGTTTTCACTCAGAAAATAATCCTAAGTGATTTACACTACGTTAGGAGTGTTCTCAAAATAAGTATAGTTATGGATACCGAAGAATAATAGTTAAACAAAACTGTTTAGCCATTGATTAAATGGACGTCTTATCCCTGATTTCATCGGCGTCTTTATATCGGGGCTCATTTGCCACAAAAAAGTCGTCGAAATAACTGTACAAATACTCAAAAGTGGGTCTTTTATCAGGATCTTTGTGCCAACAATCGAGCATAATTTGGTAAATACTATTTGGACACTCAGAATATTCCGGATGTGGCATTCTATACCCCCTGTCCACCTGTTCCAACACATCTCTGTTATTCATGCCTAACAAATAAGCAAATCAAATAATGTTATAATTTATAAATTGTAGTAATGTTGGTAAACATGATAATATAACCTGGATAAGGTATGCCTCCTTTGGTCATCAACTCGTATAACAATATACCAAAAGACCAAATATCAGATTTACTCGTAAACCTTCCCTTATTAGCCGCTTCGGGAGCCGTCCATTTGATCGGGAATTTAGCCCCAATTCTAGCCACGTATTCGTCTTCATCTATAATGCGGGCCAAACCAAAGTCAGCCACTTTTACCTCTTTGTTTTCGCCCACCTGTCCATACGGTTATTGTGAAATGCAGTCAATTATAATGTACAGTACAATACAAATTAAAATAATTGTCAAACAAATAATTTACAAACCAATATATTCCTGGCGGCTAAGTCTCTGTGAACCACTTTAATGGCCTCCAGATATGCCATTCCTGACGATATCTGTGCCGACATATCAATGAGATCGATAACAGTGGAGGCCTCGCCCTCGGGATTGCTTCTGAGATAATCGAGTAGAGATCCGTTACACATATACTCAGTCACTATAAGCAACGGCTGATCCATCGAACAAACGCCATAAAGTGATACCAATTTCTTGTGCCTATACTTTCTCATAATCGCCGCCTCCTGAAGGAAGGCCTTTGGGGACATTGTGCCGGGTTTTAGCGTTTTGATGGCCACTTCCACTTCGTCCCTAAACAATCCAAAATAGACTTTCCCGAAGTTTCCGGTTCCCAACTCCCGCCGCAACTCCAGATCGTTGCGAGCGATCTCTTGCGGACACTTTGGTGGTCCGATCTGCGAAGACTTGGGACACGGCTTATAGAGACGACAACAGAGACCGTTGGATGAGTTGGAATAGTGAACGACGAGGTCTTGGAGTCTGGCGAACGAACGCCGGGATGTGATGAAGTACTCGCCGTCAGACTTTTCCCTAATCTTATAGTGTTTGATGTGATCTAACTNTAATGATATGAATAGCGTTCGTTACGTCTGACGTACAGCCGGTGGTCAACGAGTGGTTTGGTTTGACGGACAGAAATGACTGCCGATATGTTATATATTTGATGGGAACCATTGCACTGGTATTTTGTCTGACAATAACTACCGCCGCGTCTGTTATTATAGCCAGATCTAAACGATCTAAATATTAAATCATAATAATTTTTATACACTATTTATATATAAAATTTCATTTATTTAAATTACAAATTATATTCATAAAAAGTCGATTTCTAATTTACATACAAAGTATAACTGTTTCAATGTAGTGATTGTGTGAATAAAAATTAACATTTACTTTTAGGAAAAGTGTTCACAATAATTGTGCAAATATTCAAAAGTGAGTCTTTTATTAGGATTCACTAAATGTGATGCAATCCTCACAAGAGTTTTATTCATATCAATACCTATGGCTTCAATGATAGTTAAACAAAACCGTTTATTCATTGATTAAATGGACGTCTTATCCCTGATTTCATCGGCGTCTTTATATCGGGGCTCATTTGCCACAAAAAAGTCGTCGAAATAACTGTATAAATACTCAAAAGTGGGTCTTTTATCAGGATCTTTGTGCCAACAATCGAGCATAATTTGGTAAATACTATTTGGACACTCAGAATATTCCGGATGTGGCATTCTATACCCCCTGTCCACCTGTTCCAACACATCTCTGTTGTTCATTCCTAACAAATATGAAAATCAAATAATGTTATAATTTATAAATTGTAGTAATGTTGGTAAACATGACAATTCTAACCTGGATAAGGTATGCCTCCTTTGGTCATTAACTCGTACAACAATATACCGAAAGACCAAATGTCAGATTTACTCGTAAACCTTCCCTTATTAGCCGCTTCGGGAGCCGTCCATTTGATCGGGAATTTAGCCCCAATTCTAGCCACATATTCGTCTTCATCTATAATGCGGGCCAAACCAAAGTCAGCCACTTTTACCTCTTTGTTTTCGCCCACCTGTCCATACGGTTATAGTGAGATGCAGTCAATTATAATGTACAGTACGATACAAATTAAAATAATTGTCAAACAAATAATTTACAGACCAATATATTTCTGGCGGCTAAGTCTCTGTGAACCACTTTAATGGCCTCCAGATATGCCATTCCCGACGATATCTGTGCCGACATATCGATCAGATCAATAACAGTGGAGGCCTCGCCCTCGGGATTGCTTCTGAGATAATCGAGTAGAGATCCGTTGCACATATACTCAGTCACAATAAGCAACGGCTGATCCATCGAACAAACGCCATAAAGTGATACCAATTTCTTGTGCCTATACTTTCTCATAATCGCCGCCTCCTGGAGGAAGGCCTTCGGGGACATTGTGCCGGGTTTTAGCGTTTTAATGGCCACTTCCACTTCGTCCCTAAACAATCCAAAATAGACTTTCCCGAAGTTTCCGGTTCCCAACTCTCGCCGCAACTCCAGATCGTTGCGAGCGATCTCTTGCGGACACTTTGGTGGTCCGATCTGCGAAGACTTGGGACACGGCTTATAGAGACGACAACAGAGACCGTTGGATGAGTTGGAATAGTGAACGACGAGGTCTTGGAGTCTGGCGAACGAACGCCGGGATGTGATGAAGTACTCGCCGTCAGACTTTTCCCTAATCTTATAGTGTTTGATGTGATCTAACTTTATTGAATCAAAGTCACGAATTGACAGCGAAAACGCACCTGAAGTTTGAGGCAAAAAGAAACGTTTAAAGCAATAGTCGATAGAATTACGTGTAAATTATATGTTTATAAAGACCTGCTTTCTGTTCGCTGTCTCTAACGAGGAAAGTACCCCTCGGGTAGTCATCCAATAGAAGTAACTTTTCCGCCTCTCTTCGCGATGTTTTGCTAAAAAACCATCTTTTAAATGAAAAAAAATTATTACATTATTTAAACCACAAAACAATTAACACAAGACATCACATACTCTTCAGTTTCAATAATATTCATGACCACAAAATTCATGGGTATATAACCGGCTCTATCCGAAGTGATCCTCTTTGCGAGCCACCAGTCGGGCTCCTTATCATCAATGATGACCAGTTTGTCCCCCTTTTCAAAGCTCAACTCTCCCTCATCTCTGCCCTCATAGGAGTACAAAGCGATCACAATCTTCTGTTTCGGACCATTGGATGCCTTTCGCGATACACTTTTCGTAGAAGAATATGTGGACGAATAAGTGCTACCATTTGTCGCCTCGTAGTGTCGACTCGGTATCGATGGCAGTCCTCTCTGAGGGCGTCGGGCGTTACCGTTAATACAATTACCCATTATTTCTCATAACATTATTTATCGATTTACATAAAAACGCATACAATTACATGAATTGTTAAATTATTTAATTGAATACTGAATAATGGAGACAAGCATTTATTTTCATTCATAATTAATAAGTAATTAATAAATTATAACCAAAATACAGTCTAATAGGATGCCAATGAAAAGCCGAGATATGATAGAAATGATATAAAATGAGTTTTTATAATATATGGGAAGTTGTCTTTCCTTTCAATATATAGTAATTATTGTGAAAAACAGATTTCCGACAATAATTTGTTTGGAAAATATTTATTTGAAATTTTAATTGTTATTAAATAACATCTCGTATACCATACCATACCTCCCAAACCATCGATCCAATCACAACATATACACATGTCTATCGCCGTTATATACCATATACAGTATATTCATCTCATAGTATTTTAGACTTTATTTCAATTGTAATAAACTAAACAGAATATGTTTCGCAATTTCTGCATAATATTTACATATTATTATAGGCTATAATTGAAATAATCTAATAATACATACACTCTTCAGATAACAAAATTAATTAAATGTTTATTTATTTAATATAATATTAAATAATTATAATATTAACTATGTAATTGAGTTATAATGGGATTATATTAATAATTTTTGTTGAAATAATTAATAAAATCAAACAATTAATTCATATCACTGTCGGCATCCCATCCGATGTCGTAATGCTCTTCAGATTCTTCTGCTTTTGTCTCATTATAATTGAGGGAAGAATTATCTGATGGAAGAGAAAGCGGTTGATATTCCGATAGAGCGGCGAACTCCTGGATCTGCTCCTGTTGTTGAACGGGCTCTTCGTAATCATAGGAGTCATCAGTGGTCTGCATCTGCACCTGTTCTACCTCTTCGGTGTCCATCTCCTCGTACTGTCCATAACAGCCACTCATTGCACACATTATTATCAATATATTCATTATACATATGTTCTTAACATTCATTTTGAAGATCTTTTTATAAGACACATGAAAACTAAACTAAAAGTTTTAAAAAAAAATTATTTGCTTTTAAATTGTTTTATTTATTTGTTTTATTATATAAATGCATGTTTTAATATATTTCACAATACATTCAAATAATCATTTTTGCATTTTAAAGGAAATGATTTTACATTTAAAATTCTATTTAATTTTCAAAAATTTTATTATTATATTAATTATTAGTTGGCAATGAATTTGTGAACTCATAATTGAATTCAATTTTACATTTGACCGCAAATTTAATCAAAATAAATGTCAAAACATTTATTTAATCGTTATATAAAATTTTTTTACTATGAAAACATTTAAAAGTTTTAATTAAATGTTGTTTTATTTGTTTTAATACAAGAGGAACGACACAATTAACTCAAAGTTTATTACTTTTAAGTATGTTTACTATTTCTAATTTCCGTTTTTTATTAAATTTTTATTTTAAAAATGTATTTATCTAACTAGTTTAATTTATAATACAGTACTTATCAACAAAAAAATCTATGTATAGTATTTAGTGTTAGTATTGATTTAAAGTCCGCTTATTAACAACGTGTGGGCGAAACACTGTTAAGTAAAAAATAATTTTATATTAAATTTGTCAATGTAAACCTTGTAAACCCTGTTGTATGTTATATAACTAAATATATTTTAGTACATATTGTTAGATTTAGTTATAAAAGTATGTAAAATAAAGTTATATAAAAACGATAAAATTATATAATAAGTATGCGTTAATTACTTAAAGTGTGATTAAAGTGCTATTAAATAGCCGTTAAATGATTTATGTTTTAAATTACTATACTATCTATAATATGTATTGTGTAGATAAATGATCATAAACATCTAACCATGAAAACTATAAACTTATAATTTACTGTAAAATTTATTAAAATACTAAATAATTAATTAAAAGTATATTTTACACATTAGTTTCTTTTGTCTTTATTTTCATTCATTTACAAATACACTCGATTCCAATATGATCTTTACTGGTTTCAAATTTAGGTAGCCAAAATGGTTGATTCAATTAAATTTCTGACTTGATACAATTATAGGCCATATAATGACCATGTTGAAAAAAATTATTATAAATTTTTAATTGTATATGATAATTTATTAATAGCAATTTAATAATTTGTAAACTTCTATGTTATATAATGGAAAATGAACCAAAATTCTATGAATAATTATATCATATTATACATCAATGGATAGGTATGGATGAGTGGAATAGTATTCTGAAATAATTTCCCAATTCCCTCTTAATCTACAAAAGTTATATCAAAATTAAGAAATTCCCTATCATTTTTGTACGTTATTTATGGCTTATTTTAGTTCAATTATATGAATATTAATTATAAATAAATTTAAGTTAAATAAATAATTAC